AGTTTCTCAGCGTGACCTCAGCAGAAGTAAGGAGTAATTTCAGGAGGATTAATCCTCACAAAGCAACTGGCCCAGACAACATCGCGGGAAAGGTGCTGAAAGACTGTGCCAATCAGCTCTGCAAAGTGCTGGCTGGCATCTTTAACTCCTCCCTAACCCTGGCAAGAGTTCCTACCTGCCTGAAGACTACCACCATCATCCCAGTTCCTAAGAGCTCTACAGTGACTGGTCTGAATGACTATCGGCCAGTAGCCCTCACTCCAATAGTCGCTAAATGCTTCGAAAGACTGGTCATGACCCACATAACAACCATAAACATCAGTGAGGACCCTCACCAGTATGCATACCACAAGAACCAATCAACAGAAGACACCATCTCCTCTGTGGACCATATTGCTCTCACCCACCTGGAGCAGAAGGACTCCTACATTCGTATGTTCTTGGTGGGCTTCACATCTGCCTTCAACACCATGATCCCCCAGACCCTGATGGACAAACTACTCACAATAGGACTAAGCCCCTCCAACTGCAACTGAGTCCTAGACTTCTTAACATAAAATACTGCAGTCTGTGAGGATCTACAACTTCTCCTCCACCATAACCCTCAGCACTAGCTCCCCTCAGGGCTGTATGCTGAGCCCTCTCCTGTTCTCTCTGCTCACGTATGACTGTACACCTACCCATCAGGCTGTCACATTGGAAAGTTTGCAGACGATACAGTGGTGGCTGGATGCATCACAAACAATGATGGTCCAGCTATAGGCAGGAGGTGGAACACCTGTATAGTTGGTGCAAGAAGAACAACATTGACAAAAATGTGAAGAAGATGAAGGAGATGGTTGTAGACTTCAGACGGAACAAACACACCTACCCCCACCCCGAATATAAGAAGATCTGTGGTTCATTCAACCTTTAGACAGGGTCTAAACAGATAGACAGGGTTTAGACAGATAAGTCACATTGAGCCTAGAAGATTCATTTACAAGTGAGATCTGTTTAGACAGACAAAAAGTAGTGAAACTGGACAAATATAGGAATTGGAGGCGGAAAAATTCCTATCAGACTTTTTCTCTTGGCTGAGAAGAAAAACTCTTAATATTAAAAAACACCTCGCACAAACAAGCACATAATGACGTAGACATTTCGCAGAGGGGGGAGACGACGAGAGCGGTGAGTAATGTCCTTGGACGCTCTCGAGGACACTGTAAGAGTTCTGATAAAGATGGAATAATCAGCCAGTTTCCTCCGGTGAAATCCGTAAACATTCTCGAAGGATGTCGGGGAATGCCAAGGACAACGCCTATGGGAACCCAAGAGTCCTGAAATTATGATACAATGTTTATTCAGATGGTTTCCTCTTTGTTGCTCAGTTGGAAATTCCTCGGGGGGTGGTGGTGGTGGGGGTGGTGAGCGTCAGATCACATGTTCTCCAGGCAAATTCAGATAAGATGTCCTTCAAGGCCAGCCAGGGGAGCCAAATTCAGATAAACACAGTTGTTTTGGGGACAGGCAGAACTTAATGACGTCTACCTTGAGTCTGTGTTAGTCCACTCGGTTCCAAAATGTCCAAATTCCATGGCCACACCAATGGAATGTGCCTGAGTAAAATCCCCAAGATCTGATCCATTCTGCCCAAAGCATTTGAGTCTGGGTACTCGAGGCACGAACTAAGTCATCATAAAGGCAAGCAGCGTGATCAGGTCCCAGTTTGCTGCCGACGACTTCCTTGATTGTAGATAAAACCAGCAACCAGCCGAATCCAAAAAGCAGGAACCAGTTATCGTGAATCCAATTAAATATGCGTCCTTAAAATTCACAAATGGCAGCAGAGATAGACACATCATCAAGTCTTCAAGTCGATGAGATATCCAGCTGCGTGCGTGCCAACTGGGCAAATTGGCTCACCTAAAGCCTGTCTTCTCTTCGAAGATATGTTATCAATTGTGTTGCGGGACCAACTGATGAAATCAAGTCCATAATTATGGTTCGGAAGATATGCAAGAGAGGCTCAGAAGCAGTTTCACAGACAGACAGAGCAGCAAAACAAAGCGGAGAGGGACGTCTGACCTGGACAAGAGCAAGTGATGAAGTGACAAGAACAAGTGGTGGTAGTGGTGGCTGGCCATTAGAGGGTGCTACGGCTTCTCCCTACCACTCATCACATTACCTTGAAAAATGAAATAAAAATGAAATAATAAAATAAAAATATTTCAAAATATATGTATATATGTTTTAGTTGTGTAAGATAAGTATTTTATAGTTAATGATGAGTAAAGTTGTTTCTTTCAAAAACATTGTATATGATTGATGACATATTTCCACCCTAAGGAGCAAACATCTTTTCCCATAGACACTCGTTAAAATTTGTACATGTGCAGTTAGCTCCTCTTCATTACAAGATATAGGACTATTCTGGGTACACTGCTCCTGCGTCCAGAGAATGCACGGTATGGATTGTGCTTCTGGAACAGATCGTGCCACTCCCAACCAGGCTATGTGTGAGAGGCTATGATAGCTGCTGCAGATAGGCTTTAAGCCACTGAAAGCCCTTTATTGAATGCCTATTTTACCATTTCTGACTGATATGCCTCTCAACTTTTAGATGTCTGTGGAAAAAAAACTTCAGCTGACTGTGTTTTCTAAAAGCGGGAACTGGTGAGTTTGTTTGTTTGTTTGTTTCTGGGCTAGCATTCTAGCGCTAGCCTCCAGGTTATTGTATTGGGCTCTCTGATAAATCAGTGTTATTGCTACATTTATTTGTACATACTTATAGAAAAAATAATTAACAAACATTAATACTTTTCTGGAACTAGTTTCCTTAAGAGGGGTTGGCCACTCTTCCATTCTGGAGTTGCCCCTGGTGAGAGGCGCAGAGCAGAAGTGGGCATACTTGTTGTCCCCCATCTTGGTGCCTGTATGCTGGAGTTTGCCCCGGTGAATGAGAGGGTAGTCTCCATCCCTCGTGTGGGGGGATGGGTTCTGACTCTTGTTTGTGCTTATGCACCAAACAGCAGCTCAGATTACCCACCTTTTTTGGAGTCCTTGGAGGGGGTACTGGAGCGTGTGCCTCCTGGGGACTCCCTTGTTCTGCTGGGGGACTTCAACCCTCACCTGGGCAATGACAGTGAGAACTGGAGGGGTGTGGTTGGGAGTAACAGCCCCCCTGATCTGAACCCGAGTGGTGGTCTATTGTTGGACTTCTGTGCTTGTCCATAATGAACAACATGTTCGAGCATAATGGTTTCCAAATGTGCTCTTGGCACCACGACACCCTAGGCCGCAGTTCGATGATTGACTTTGTTGTCTCATCTGATCTGCGGCCACATGTCTTGGACACTCGGGTGAAGAGAGGGGCGGAGCTTTACACCGACCACTGTGTGGTGAGTTGGCTCCAATAGTGGGAGAGGATGCCAGTCAGACCTGGCAGACCCAAACCTATTGTGAGGGTCTGCTGGGAACATCTGGCAGAGTCTCCCGTCAGGCTGAAGAAGGAGTCCTATCTGGCCTTTTTGGCTTGTGGGACCACAGAAGCAGCTGATGGGTACCGGCAGCCCAAACGGCATGCGACTCGGGTGGTCGCTGAGGCAAAAACTCAGGCGAGGGGGGAGTTCGAAGAGGCCACGGAGAATGACTTCCGTATGGCTTCGAGGCAATTCTGGCATCTGGCAGCGGGGGGGGGGGGGGGGGGGATGCCACCAACACTGGTTATAGTGAAGGTGGTGTGCTGCTGACCTCAACTTGGGATGTCGTGGGTCGGTAGGCAGAGCACTTAGAAGACCTCCTCAATCCCACTGGCACGTCTTCCACTGAGGAAGTGGAGCCTGGGGACTTTGGATTGGGCTCTCCAATCTCTTGTGCTGAAGTCACTGAGGTGGTTAAAAAGCTCCTCAGTGGCAGGGCCCCAGGGGTGGATAAGATTCATCCAGAGTTTCTTAAGGCTCTGGATGTTGAGAGGTTGTGCTGGCTTACACAACTCTGCAATATTGCGTGGACATCGGGGGCAGTTCCCCTGAATTGGCAGACCAGGGTGGTGGTCCCCCTATTCAAAAAGGGGGACCATAGAGTGTGTTCCAACTACAGGGGGATCACGTTCTTAAGCCTCCCTGGTAAAGTCTATTCAGGGGTTCTGGAGAGGAGGGTCCATTGGATAGTCGAACCTCAGATTCAGGAGGAGCAGTGAGATTTTCGTCCTGGTCGTGGAACACTGGACCAGCTCTACAGCCTCAGCAGGGTCCTGGAGGGTGCATGGGAGTTTGCCCAACCAGTCTACATGCGCTTTGTGGACTTGGAATCAGTAATCCATGCCTTCGTCACATCTCAGCTGGATTACTGTAATGCTCTTTACCTTGGAGTCAGCCAGTCCTCCCTCAGACGCCTCCATTTGGTCC